GCTAGCAAACTTCAACTTTGAAAACTACTATTTATAATAATATAACATACTGAGTTCAATCTCTTCACATGTCAAAAAACATTATTAAAAATTACTAACTGATGCTCTCACTTCTTTTTTCATGGTGGCCTTCCAGAAAAAATTATTACATTGCTTAGCATCATATTGCTTTACCCCAAAAGAATGGGGACCTTGATTTACTTTGTCCGCACTGAACACTAGCTGTAAGATGACTTATTTCTTCAAACTTTTAGCCCATAACTCTTATAAAAAATGGTCTTGAGCTTCTACCTGGGAATCACACCTTAACATCACTTTTTTTTTATAAAAAATTATTCATGTTGCTAACTTTATGAGAAAGCGTTTCAAAAATGGTCTTGAGCTTCTATTTTGAATTATATAGATTTTGACAATTGAATATCATCTCTTTTTAACAAAATTTCAACAGATCTTGTTTAGAACTATAAAACATATTGATTCCAATCACTTCACATGTCGAAAAGCATTATTAAAATTTACCAACTAGTGCTCTCAGTTTTTAATGTTGGCCATTCCAGAAAAATTAATTGCATTGCTTAGTATCATGTTGCTTTGCCCAAGAAGAATGGAGACCTTGGCTAATATACCTTGTCCGCACTGAACACTAGCTCTAAGATGACTTGTTTCTTCAAAATTTAAGCCTATGACTCCAGTTAGAAAGGGTCTTATGATTCTATTTGGGAATCACCTTCTACTAGCCATCACTCTTTTGTAGAAATTTATTCTTTTTGCTAACTTTACGAAAAAGTGTATCAATTTTAATGTGAGAAATGGTTCCAATCACAAGCTCCTTAGTGCTAAATGACAACATTTTATTGGAATATTATGGTCCAATGTGTAGGAATTCAACTCTGTTTACTATATTACTAGATCATTGATGGCTAATCCCTCGAGTTTCCCTCTCTCTCTCTCTCTCGCAACTCACATATACCAAACTATTTTGATTGTGCCTAATTAAGGGGACGGACAAAATCCTATGACATCGTAGGCAAAATGCTTTGCATTCCCACCTCCCTTGTGTGGATTAGGAAAATATACATTTGGTTCAAATGACACCCTCTTAAATTTTCCCTATACACATAGATGGCTCCCTACATGACCATAAAACAATTAACAATCTAATAGCCAAAGGCCTTAACGGAAACTCCAACTTTGTACTCTAATTGTGCCTCTTAATTTTTATTTATGGGTAGTATCGTTGTCTTTTAGAGTTGACTATTTAGTTTCAATTTGGTTGTATATTTATATACTCTTTTGATTCATTTTCATTTAAATGAGTCTCTATTATATTTTTGTCACACATTTTGCTCTAGAGTTTTTTATATTGTCATTGTCTTCATATTAAGATAGCTAAATATTTTTTGGTTGATGATATCTCCTATACTATCACAACTTCCAATAGATATATTTTCTTGATCTGTAGTCATTTGTTATTCTTTCTAGTATGTAGATATTGGTTCTCTCTATTAGCACTTGAAGACATCATTGGGCTTTGGATTGACTTTGTTGTGGACTTCCTTGTGGTTCCATGAAACATAGTCTGAGCTCGATTTTCCACTTCTATATCATCATTCTCTCTTAGTTTTTGAGAAAATGACCATGAGTCCTCATTGTTTTTTTTTTTTCTTTACTAATGATTTTGCTTCTTAATCTTTATCTTTAAGGCAGTATGTTTGTCTTTTAAAGTGAATCTTTAGTTTCAATTTGGTGTATATTGATTAATTTTCAAATAATGGAGCTTGATTTATGGTCATGTTCTTTTAGTTTCTAAGATAATGACTATGAGGTCCTTGTTATTTTTTTTCATTTACTACTATGATGATTCCGCTTCTTGATTTTTATTTTTAAGGTAATAAGATGTCTTTTAGAGTGACTCTTTAATTTTAATTTCGGTGTATATTCAAGTACTCATTTGATTCATTTTCAATTAATTGAGACTTAGCTCTAAGAAATATATTTTCTAGCTCTACAATCACTTGTGATTCTTTCTAGTATGACGATATTGATTCTCTATCACCACTTGAAGACATCATTGGGCTGCAGATTGATTTTTGTTTTGGACTTTCTTGTGTTCCCATGGGACTTAGTCCCACTTCTATATGATCATTATCTTAGTTTTAAAGACAATGAACATGAGTCATTAATATATTTTTTCTTTACTACCATGATTTTACTTCTTGATTTTTATTTTTAGGGCAATATGCTTGTCTTTTAGAGTGACTCCTTAGTTTTAATTTTAGTATATATTCACGTACTCATTGATTAATTTTTAATTAATTAAGCTAAATTTTATGTTTACCACATTTATATGGCCATTCTCTCTTAGTTTCTGAGATAATGACCATAAGTCTTTACTAATTTTTCTCATTTACTACTATGATTTGACATCTTAATTTTCATTTAGGTGTATAACTGTATATTCATGTACTTGTTTGATTCATTTTCCATTAATTGAGGCTCAGTTCATTTTCACTAAATTGAGTTTTATTTCTCATATTTTAACTCTTTTGATTAATTTATTTTTTAGGGCTATATGTTTTTCTTTTACACTAACTCCTTGGTTTCAATTTTTGGATATATCCACATACTCATCGATTAATTTTCAATTAATTCAGATAGATTTTATGTTTGCCACATTTATATGGTCGTTCTCTTTTAGTTTCTGAGATAATGACCATGATTACTTGCTAATCTTTTTTCATTTTCTACTTTAATTCTACTTCTTGATTTTTATTTTGTGTAGCAAGGTTCTCTTTTAAAGTGATTGTCATAGCTTCTAACATATATATTTCTAGGTCTGCAGTCACTTGTGATTCTTTCTAGTATGAAGATATTGGTTCTCTCTATTACCACATAAAAAGATCATTTGGTTTTGGATTGATTTTGATATGGACTTCCTTGTGGTGCCATGGAACAAAGTCTGAGCTTGTTTTAATTTTTTCTCTTAGTTTTTTAGACAATGACCGTGAGTTCTTGCTATTTTTTTCTTTATTATTATGAATTTGCTTCTTCTTCTTTTTTTAGGCTGTATGTTTGTCTTTCAACGTGACTCCTTAGTTTCAATTTTGGTGTATAAGCTATATTCACATATGCATTGATTAATTTTCAAGTAATGGAGCTCGATTTTATTTTTGCCACATCTAAATGGCCAATTTCTTTTAGTTTCTAAGATAATGACCATGAGTCCTTATTAATTTTTATTATTTACTCTATGATTTTGCTTCTTGATTTTTATTTTTTAAGATAAAAAAGATTGTCTTTCAGAGTTATTCTTTAGTTTCAATTTCAAAGTACTCATATGATTCATTTTCAATTAATGGAGACTTGGCCCTAATAGATATATTTTCTAGGCCCACAATCACTTGTGATTCATTCTAGTATGATGATATTAGTTCTCTCTATCACCACTTGAAGACGTCATTGGGCTTTAGATTGATTTTGTTGTAGATTTCCTTGTGATCCCATGGGACATAGCCTGAGCTTCATTTCATTTCTGCCACATCTATATGGTCCTTGTCTCTTAGTTTTTGAGACAATGACAATAAGTCCTTACTATTTTTTTCTTTACTACTATGATTATGTTTCTTGATTTTTATTTTTAGGGCATTATGTTGTGTCTTTTAGAGTGACTACTTAGTTTAGATTTTAGTTTATATTTACATACTAATTGGTTAATTTTCAATTAATTGAGCTAGATTTTATGTTTTCCACATTTATATGACCATTCTCTCTTTAGTTTCTAAAATAATGACCATGAGTCCTTGCTAATATTTTTCATTTACTACTATAATTCTACTTATTGATTTTTCTTTTTAGAATAGTAAGGTACTCTTTTAGAGTGATTTTTTAGTTTCAATTTAGATATGTATTCATGTACACATTTGATTCATTTTCAATTAATTGAGACTTAGCCCTAACAGATATATTTTCTAGGTCCACAATCACTTACGATTCATTATAGTAGGACGATATTGATTCTCTCTATCACCACTTGAAACATCATTGGGCTTCATATTGATTTTGTTTTGAACCCCCTTATGGTCCCATGGGATATAGCCTGAGCTCGATTTTATTTTTCCTACTTCTATATTCACATACTAATTGATTAATTTTCAATTAATAGATCTAAATTTTATGTTTTCCACATTTATATGTCCATTCTCTCTTAATTTTGAGATAGCAACGACAAGTCCTTGCTATTTTCTTTTTCATGCTATGATTCTACTTCTTGATTTTTCTTTTTAGGATAGTAAGGTACTCTTTTAGAAAGACTCTTTATTTTCAATTTCGGTATGTATTCATGTATATGTTTGATTCATTTTCAATCTCTTCATCACCACTTGAGGACACCATTGGGCTTCAGACTAATTTTCTTATGGAATTCCTTGTAATCCCATGGGATATGATCTAAGCTCGATTTCATTTTTGTCACTTCTATATGGTCATTCTGTCTTAGTTTTTGAGACAATGGCCATAAGTCCTTGCTATTCTTTTCTTTACTATTATGGTTCAGTTTCTTGAATTTTTATTTTTATGGCAATATGTTTGTCTTTTAGAGTGACTTCTTAGTTTTAATTTTATTCTATATTCACTTACTCATTGATTAATTGAGCTAGATTTTATGTTTGTCACATTTATAGGGTCATTCTCTCTTAGTTTCTAAGATAATGACCATGAGTCCTTGTAAATTTTTTGCATTTACTACTACGATTCTACTTCTTGATTTTTATTGTTAGGGTGGTAAGGTTCTCTTTTAGAGTTACTCGCTGAATAAAGATAAGTTAATATAGCAGAGAAATGTTATCAAATACAAAATTTTCATCAATTACTAAAATAAAACAAATCAATGCTCATTGAAACGATGTTAGAATATTTCCATTTTTAAAAGAAAATGAAAAAAAATTTTCCTTGCCATCGAATAATAAAGGCATTGTCATAGAGACGGCTAGAAAGGCACTTACTCTGTCTTTACCTAGGTTGAGCTCCTGCAACCAAAAGATGAGTGGTTAAGTAGAAAAATCATACAGAACTGACACTAGAAAGCAATTAAGAGAAAAGCCAACCAACCGCTAGCATTTGAGAGTGAGCCTGAGCAAGCTGCCAGTTCTGCTGATTTAGTTTTGCCACCATCAATCGGAGATTCTGCACCTCCGTACTGCTCATTTCAATTACTTAAGTTTGTCATTAATAGGAAAAAAAGTAGATTATGGCAAAAGACAAGGAAGCAGTCAAGTAAATAATTATGGAAAAAGATTCACCCACTTTCTTTCTGCAAGAGCCCTCATCAGAACATTGTTTTCCTGAAACCGACATTCCAATGCAAAAGTAAGAAAGTCGACTAATCAGATTGTTTCTGCCTCCAATTTGAGAGAGTGATGAAAGTAGATTGAAAGAGGAATGGACCTTGAGAAGCTTGGCGATGTATTCGTTGACCATCATGGGAGATCCGGCCTTCCCATATTCATGATCTTCAGTGACGAGTACATCGCCAAGGTCGCTGATCGACAAGTTGGTTATGTCAGAAAGCCTCTTCCTTGGTAAAAGTATCGTCTTATGCCTCCACTCTCCGGCTGAAATACATTAATCAATGCAACTAAGGCTCCCGGGTGAGCAATAGAAAAAGTAAAAACCCTGAATCCGATTCTCTTCCGGCAGAAACCCTAACCCTTGTCTTGATTTCCAAATACTCATTCATTTTGGCGGAATGAAAGGGCTTTCCTAATTACACTATCAGACGAAATAGGTATCGTACCTTTAACTCCATGGGAAGTGTTGTTCTCCATCATCAGGAAGCGGGCTTAATCTATTGTTGTATCGGGAGAAAGGAGAGCGCAACAAACCTAATTCTTCCCAAGCGTCAGAGAAGCGCAGGTCTACTGGGGGCTTCTGTCGCAGCAGAGAGTAGTAATCATTCATTCAAATTCTTGACGTTGTGAGATTGGAAGCAGAACTTAACCAAGAGAGCGGAAGAGATCAAAGACGGAGAAGTGAAAGAGAGAGAAAGAGGTCAGAGACCAAGAGAGCCGCAATATGAGAGAGAGAGAGAGCGACCGAGCGAGAGGGAGGCTTGGGAGAATAACGGATATCCGAGCCTAGAATTTAAATAGATCTGGAAGGGAGGGCTTTAATGCTTTAGTTGAAGCAATTCATCTTTTAGTGTGGCCACTCCTGTAGCCACCCCCCATTCATTGAGCAATTATTACGTCCTCTAACAGGACGTAGAGCTACATTCGGCCGCCAATAACATATCGCCACGTGCTCTTACTCTAAACCGCGCGGCCCGACGACTTGACCCGGAGCGGAACCCGGGAATGCTATGTTCGTGATTTTCTCGGTATTGCTCGGTATTTGCTCGGTATTTGCTAGGTATTGCTTTGCAAAAATGAGAAATACCGCCCTGTGAAGACCAATACCATGCAAATACCGAGTTGTATCGAGTTTTTTACAACTCGGTACAACTCAGTATTTGCTCAGGATTTGCTCGGTATTGCTAGAAAAAACTCGGTACAACTCGGTACAAACTCGGTACAACTCAGTATTTGCTCGGTATTGCTAGGGATTTGCTCGGTATTGCTAGAAAAAATTAGGTACAACTTGATATTTGCTCGGTATTAGTAGGTATTTGAAATATATCCAAAAGGTGATGAGATGTTGTTCGGCTCGTCAAGGATTTAAAAAAAATGCACGTGCGAGAACCCAAAAAATAACGGGTCGGGTCGACGACTTTTCTTCATGCTACGTGACGCTAAAACATTGGTGGCCGAACGTAGAGGAGCGTACGTTCACCGGACAGAATAAAAGTTTCCATTCATTTGCTTTGTTTCACTTCTAACTGGCTACAGAATTGGCTATCAAGTAGACAAAAGGGGTGGACTTGACCGTTGCAGAAAGTTTTCAAGCAAACCCTTTACAAAAAAAAATTTTTTGGGAAGGCCAAAAACAATATATTGCCGAGATATGCCAAGACCCATTTATTTTAGGAAATTTTGTATAAAAGTCCTTGTAGTTTGGAAATATTTTATTTTTATTTTAGTGAATAAACTGTTTTAATTATTGTAAAATGTTAACCAGCAGGATTTGAAATACTAAATAATTTTTTAATATGATTTATCAATTAGCTCTTTTTTGGTGGCCCGATCTCGTTAAGCGGGCGGCTAAAGTCGTGTTGGCCCGCTAAATATAACATATGCATATTTATTTTTTCTTCAGTGATGAAGATGTAAAATTCTGAAGAAAATAATTTACTATTTACATGATTTTGGCTTCATTCAGGATGGTTTTTTTACTGCTTCTTAAATTAATTTTTTTAGTACAAAAATTAAGACTTTGTACTAAAAATCTGTTTTAAAATGTAATAAGAAAGTTTCCTCAAACAAAGTCTTAGAAATTTCAAAGAAGAAGCTAATTTTTAATTTTATAATATACCATCTATAAAAGGAACTGATCGGGTCCGGCAATTCAGATATTAAATATATATAAGCATCAAAAGAAATTAATGAATTTGTGAATGGATGTTAAAGGATGGACTTAGAGTGGGGAAAAAAAATCTAGAAAGTGCTAAGAGGATTAGAGCTTCAAAATTGGCCGAGTTTTTACTATCAAAAGAAGGAAAAAAGTTCTAAATTTTCCTCATAACATCTTATTTATAAGGTCATGTGGGTTATAAGAATTATAAGTAATAGGCAAAGGTCACATGGGTGCAGTCCAACAAATTACAAAGTTTATGCTATTTATGATTTTCAAAAATAATAATAAACACTCTCACTATTAATCAATCATTAAAAAAAATCCTTAAAAAGTGTTTAAATTATCCGATGTAAAATCAAAAATAAATGAAGCTATTTGACAAACAATTAGTTTATACATTAAGTCACTATTTCAATTCAATAATATGGAAATAAAGCCATTATTAGTGATACATCATCACAAAATTAGCTTGATCAGGCACGAATCTCGAGGCAAAAACTAGTTGGAGACTTCAAAAATTAAATCCGGGAGCATCCGAACTCCGATTTCAACGATCTTACAGTCACAGGACGCAACAATTAGGAACTTTTATTTCACATAAAGTCTTGCTAAGACTTCGGTTGTGACAACTTTTTTATTGCTTCTTAAAGCAACTTTCTAACATAAAATTTTTAATTTATTAAAAAATTGTTTTAAGAAGCGGTAAGAAACTCATATCAAATGAAGCCTAATTTTATTGAATTATCTTAATGCAAGGAAGAATAAGCTAGATTTCGTTTGTGACAACTTTCTTACTAGCTACTTTCTAAAACAGCTTTTTAGTACATAATTTTTTTGAACTAAAATTTTTTGTACTAAAAAATTGCTTTATAAAGCAACAAATAAGTTGTCCCAAACTCAGGAGCAAATCTTGCAGCTTTTTTTTTTCAGGGTGGACAATTTTTTATTTTATTTTTTGTAAGAGGATGGACAAATATGCTTATGAGTGATAAAATTAGAGCAAAAAAGATTTTTGAGGGGGGGGGTTCAAAATACCCAAAATAAACTTCAAGATATTTTGATATAATTTACATTAAGATATACTTGATTATCTTTGAATTTGTGCTACAAATAATATTAGAATAAGATCAAGAATATTTGAGTCAACCTTAAAATAAATTATATGAGGATAAACATTCAAATTCTTCCATGGATTCAATGATTCATGATTGAAATATCCTTTTCCTTTAGTGGTGTAGGCAAGTCAAACTGATTTTATAAGCCGGCAAAAGCTCGACTTAATAAATGACTATTGAGCTAAATTTGCTAAGCTAAGGAGACAATATTGAGCCAACATTGACCAGCTAGACTCCTTAGCACATGAGCTGGTTCATTTAAAAAATATTAGTTAAAATATACTTAAATTATATTAGAATGCAGGAGTTTAAGCATAAACCTTTAAAAAATATTTAAATTTATATGCCATTTTATTATATCAAGTCATTCTTTATTACTTCTCTTTAATTTTTTTTTAATTTTAATATAATAATTATTTGAATCATAATCATTTTCTATTTTTAATAACAAACGAGGCATCTCGAATTAGCGGAATTAAGCTCAAACTCTATTCAATTTAGGCTTCATTTGGGACAGCTTTCTTAATGCTTTGATTTTCAAAATACAGTCACAATTTTTATTTAACCGCTGCTTTTTCATTGTTTTCAATAATTTTTTATACATAGAAAGCTGCTTTCTACATCTAACTTTAAAAAAAAAAAAACTTTCTTCATTACTATTTTCCAATATACTTTACAAAAAATTGCACCCATTTCAAACTAATCTTTAATTAATATTTTATTTGAGGCAACTTTTTTAATATTTTTTGAAGCAACAAAAATTTTTATACTAAAAAATTATTTTAAATAACAGTAAAGAATGATCTCTCAAACGAATCCTAAGTTCAAATTTAAATTAAAAGGTTAGTCGAATTCGAGTCGTTTACACCTTTTTCCTCCATTATCAACCCATCTGGCTCAGCTTCATCGTCGTTATTTCTTGACGCGGCACCACGCCCCTTATAAAACCTAGTCACCACCACGTAAAAAATACAAAAGTTCACAGCGTTAATGGCACAAACAATCCAATACAAGTAATCCAGCTTACTCCGGTTAAGATCTCTCCTGAGCCAGCCTCTCGCCACCCCTCCCGTCTTCCTCTCCACAACCTTAACAAGTATTGTATTCAGCCAGCTCCCCACGCCAGCTGCACTCAAAAAGACAGCGCTGCTTAGACTCCTTGTCCCATCCGTCGCTTCGTAGTAGAAGAACTCCAATTGCCCAACGTAGGTGAGCACCTCCGCGATTCCCAGAAGAAAGTACTGCGGAAACAGCCACCAAAAGCTCAGCTTGCTCCCCGTGTGGGCCGAGCTTCTACGGTGGTGTTCCACCTGCGCGGCGACGGCGAAGGTTGGGATGCTGACGAACAGGCCAATCCCCACCCGTTGAAGCGAGGAGAGCCCACGCGGGTGGCTCGTGAGCCGCCGGAACAACGGGACTATAAATCTCTCGTACATGAGAATGAAAATCAGAGAACTCGCCGCAGCGAAGATAGGCACAGAGCCAGGCGGGACGACGAAGTCGCCGGAGAGCCGGCGGTTCATTACTAACCCCTGGGCTATGAAGAAATTCATCTGCGAGAAAGCAAGTTGAAAGGCGATGGTGGTGACCCATATTGGGAGGATTCGCATAAAGGCCTTCAATTCCTCCACCTGCGTCACCGTGCAAAGCCTCCACCGGCTTTGATCACCGTCGTTCACATTAGACGCCCCAACCGCTGCCATGTCAAGGAAGCTTAACTCCCTCGTGTGAGGGAGCTTCCTCGCCCCGTAGATGGCGGACTCCTTGGTCTTCACCTCGAAGAGCTCTTCCGCGTTCTTCGCTTGTACCCCCTTCGCGTAATTACGGGAGGCGGCGACAAACACCTGGAGAAAGCGGGTGAAGGGGCTTCCCCTTGGCTTCTGGTAGCGATACCTGCGTTTCCCGGCGACCAGGATTAAAACAGAGGAAACGTTGATGACGGCGGACAAACCGAAGCCCCAAGCCCAACCCATCTGGTCTTCTATGTAAGCGATGAGGGTTATGCTAATGCAGATGCCTGAGGTCAAGGCGAAGAAGAACCAGTTAAAGAAGGAGGATTTCTTGCGGGCTTCAATGGGGTCGGCCTCGTCGAACTGGTCGGCGCCGAAGGTTGAGATGCAGGGTTTGATGCCGCCGGTGCCGAGCGCGATAAGCGCCATAGCGACTAACAAAACACCGTTTTGCGGGCCCGTGGCGGATTCGCAACTTTCGCTGCCCAAAGCGCATGGCGGCGGCCGCAAGCTGTCGATGCTCGCTGCCAGCGTCAATAACACAGTGCCCTGCAACAAAAAGGTTCATTTCACATTAACAAATAAAGGTTCAAACGTGGTGCATGTTTCTAAAAAAAAAAAAAATTAAAATTTTACCGCAGCGTAGATGGGGGAGAAGATGACAACAATGAGAAAACGACCGAGATACGAGTCGGCAAGAAAAGCCCCGAGAAGAGAAAGCATGAAAGCAGAACCAATCCAATTAGTTATACGGGTGCTTGCATCCGGCAAAGCTTCATGCATCTCCTTCGTCAAGTATATCATCATATTGATCAATATTGCAAAGAAGGCAATTCTCTCTGCAACCTCATTCACTATATTTTACCCATAATCGCTTAATCACTTCGCATAATTAAACGCTTAAAATAAATTAAATTTTAAGTCCAAGATACAAACCGATGATAAAAGGCGCGGCTTTCCATCCGCCGGTGGTGACCTTATCGGCGATCTTGCCCTGGTAGTCGACGGCGCCGTTGCTTACTAGCGTTGATGGGGACCTGTTAGCAGAAGCGTCGACGGCGTGATCGCCGGAGATGGAAGCTTCAACTTTCATATTTTGTTTTGTTTTTTTATTCTTTTCTTTTAGTTGATTACATGAAAGGATTAGTTATGAGAGCTATTTAATGACTGATTTCCACTACAAAATTATGTTTGAGCAGCTAATGTTTTGACAGATGCACAAAGTATATTAAATTATGCGATTAATTAAACTTTAATTTTCTTAAGAAAATTTTATTATTTTTAGGAGGATTTACATCAAAATCACAAAATTTTTATGCCTTTACATGTTTAATGTTTAATTTTATATTTTTATATAACGGTTTAATCTCCCAACATAATATATATATATAATCATGCATGTAATTTGGTATTAATAATATAATTTATTTATAGAAAATTTTTTGTATTGAAAAATATGATAAATTAAAAGTTTAATATAAAAAAATTTTCCCAAAAAAAAGTCGAGGCCAAAGCTAGCGACTTTACTCAATTAAAATTTTTTTTTTCATCTTTATTCGAATGGTCAAAAAATGTAAAGATTCTATATTCTTAAATTTGTCCTTAATGTAGGAAGCCATTGCCGGCATTTACATCGTCTACATAGGGCGTTTACGTGTTACCAAAGCAACAGCTTTCTTTAACATTGACTAGTAAAAAGAGTTGAAGAAGAAATGAGTGAGGACTCTTTAACGGCTAGCCAACATTGTTATTGACGAGATTGCCAAATTTCGATTATCCGGGACCGCGAGGTTGCAAGGAAAAGACAAAAGGACTTTTTCCGGTCTGGTTGTAGTTTTGATTTGCCTGAGGGCTGACCGGGTTTTTTTTTTCTTTTAGAGTTTGCAAAATAAGAAAATGAATAATTTTATATATGAAATAGAAAAATGAACTTGAACTCGAGCTTGGCTCATATCAATAATGATGGGACTTGCAAGTTGCAAGCCATCTTCGGACATCGAGATAAAACGTGGTGGCTATGTGAAGAAAGCGTCGACATGATCCTCTACTGAAGAAGAAAAAGAGGCATTGACATGACCTTCTACTAGAAAAGAAGAAGAAGAAGCCGTCGACGTGAACCTCAGCCGAAGAAGAAGAAGAAGTCGTCAACGTGGATCTTCATCTTAAAAGAAGAAGCCATTAACGTTGCCCTCCATAGGCGTCGACCTCATGGTCCTCCTTAAGCTTTAATTATTTTCTTTGAAAATCTGAATCCTAAATTCCTAATTAATTTAATATTTTAAAAGATTTTTATCTATAGGTGCCTGCAATCCTATTAAAAAAATAAGGCAGGTGCCAACAACCCTTTAATGACTCCCATAAAAAGAAAACCTACTTTCATAATAATGAAGAGAACATATAACAACCACCTCATAATTAGCGGTCAAGCACATCTAAAAAATCATTTGACATGTGAGCTAACTCACAAGCTTGTTGAGCCCTATCAAGATTGAACTCAATGTCATTTAATATGTGAGCTCGAGTTTAAGCTTAGCTCATGCAAGCTCATTAAAGAGTCAATCTCAAGTCAAAGTGGGTTACTTACACCCCTACTTTGCCTAAGTCTCACCCATATAGTTGTTACATAGTTACTTGGTACTTTTTAATTATATTATATTTAGAACAACATTTGTTTATGCTGACAACAGTGCCAATAAAAAGAAATATATGAAATTTATAGTTTACATCTCTAAAACCATTATAGATCTCTAGCTCATTCTTGGGGATTTCTATTGTATTAGATCCATTGATGATAAAGTTAGTGAAAATGCTCCTCACTCATGTAAAATGATTGATTTTAATAATTGTATTTTCAATGCTTATCTGCTTGAACCTTCCCTATTCCACTCTACTTATAGCTGGGTCAATCAGCATCTTCAAAGCCTTATAAGAAATCTTCTAAATATGGCATTCTATAATGACCTACATTTGAATAATTTCCCTCACTCCTTACAAAACTCTAACCATTTCTTAGTCTCATTCATATGGAGCACCAAATCAATATCAAAATTCTAACCCCCAAACGTTTATAGCGATCACTTTCTAAGAATTTGGTCTCATTACTTCGAATTTATGGATGTTATTCCTTCACTCTTTATAGTCCATTTATGTTTGAGGGCATCCTCTATTTACTCTTATCAACAAACTCTACAATGTTAAAATTGCTTTAAAAGCTATCAAAATTCAATCTTTGTGTGTTTAGAAGGTAATCCTCTCAATAATGATCTTCATCGCCAAGCCTACTAAGTGTGGGAATGATTAGATTAATCAAAGAGCTAAATGTTCATAATTAACTAAAGAAGAAGATCTCAAATTTCTTTACCAGAAGATCATAAGTAGAAGAAGCCACAACTTCTTCAGAGAAATAAACACTAATCATGGTACCCTTCAATTTATTGAGAATATCTATGGTGAAGCTATGTATCATTTCTTCAAACTCTTTATTAAGGATGACCTCTCATCAAATCATTGTTTGGATGACTCCCTATCTGACCTTGTGGTTGATCAACTCAGTCTTATCATTGGCTTCACAAAAGATGAAATAAAACTTGTTTTGTTTGAGAATAAAAATAACAAACTCTTGTTCCTAACATCTTCACCTCTAATTCTTCAAAGATACTTGGCATATCACAAGTAACACCTTTATTGATGTTGTTAAACACTTCGTCCACTCCTTCAATCCCTTTAACATAACTAAGCATTCAATTATTATCGTCATACCTAAATCTCTACACTATAAAGATTTAAATGATTATAGATTTATATCCCAATGCCATATTTTATATAAAATCATTACCAAATTACTTCTAAACGAACTTAATCATCTCCTCTCTTGACTTATTCATCAAACTCAATTAGCTTTCATTTGTGGAAGAGACATTTCTAACAATATAGTTTTGACAAATCAAATACCGAGAGGATTCAACACTACTATTTTTTTCAAACTCTTTTGTGTCAAAATTGATTTGCATCAAGCCTTTAATAATGAAATAATTTTTTTTTTCTTTATAGCCAGGATATGTAATTTCATGAGTTTGAGGTAAGAAATTGGTAATTTTATTGCTACGACAGTTCTATGTTGCAATTAATTCACACATTTTATATCATACAAAAAGATTTTAGGTGGTTACCCCATCATAGTGATAGGATCATAAAGAATTTTGAGATTCGATGGTCGACTTGCGTATGTGTTTGGGATGACCTAAAAAAAGCTTGGGACAACCCATACTTTGCCATAATAAGAAGAAGGGTGGTTGGTCTAACAAAAGAATTACAAGCATATATGCAATCGCGACAAGCTTAAATGCAAGCTAAGTTGCCGGCATTGAAGGAGTAGCATTGGTAGCATAAGGCTTAGGAGGTTGAGGAGAGTAAGGAGATAGATGGTGAGTAGATAGTTTTTTTTATATGTATTTTTATTGATCAATATGTCCTAACTCAACCTGATAAGACCCACAGACTGGCAAGTCCTATCATGTTGTTAGAAATATTTTTTTTTTTTTAATTCAACTTAAAAATAACAATAAACACAGAGTTGCTAATAACATCTAGTACTAAAAATAAACTCATCTAAAAGATTTATTTTCCATTTATTATAAAAAATACATATACAATCACAATGCTTAACTATAACTAAAAGTTGCAAATCACAGTAATGAAAACTAGTCATGACTATATAAAAATAAAAAGAAAAAAAAAACCTATATATTTTGATCAAATTCATGAAACCACTATTCAACATGCCATTTCCCTTTTTTAGACCCTAAAAAATAGAATGCAAAATAATGGTGAGCTAAAATAGCTCAGCAAATCATAAATACAGATATAAATTTCTAAATATTTTCTCAGAATTATCAAAAATATAATAGTTCATTATGCTAAACAATGTAATATAACATTATAGTTATCCAAAGATTCAAATAATAATACTGAATAGTTAAATAAACTAAAATTTTATGTGAACTTTATTTCATAGAACATAATGTAATAGATTTTCGGTCCAAGACAGAATCTAAAGATTCTAGCACATTATACTCCCATCTGTTGCAAATCTATTTTTCATGACTTATGTTTTGATGATTGACAAACACTTTTAACTCTCTTGGACTGCCTGTTACTTCTAACTTTTCAGGAATAAAAAATCGGACGAACAATAGAAGCCAGTTCAAGATTACGTAGGTTTAGGGTTGAGTCAGTCTGTACTTTGTGTTTTCTCTTCTTGAGTCTATTTGTAATGTTCAAAGAGACTGATGCTAAGTAACCATACACACACACTTGAGAGACTTAGAATTTTTGTTTTTACTCATATCGGCCAGGACGATATTTACATTATCCTGGATGATCGGGCTTAAAGCAGAAAATCTAAACAAGGATTCTTAATTAAGGAAGCCGTCATTAACAGATCGTCCTGGACGATACGTGTATCGGCCAGGACGATAAGCTCAAAACAGAAAGAAGTTTCCACCATAGACAATTAAGGTATTCTGTATTTTTTAATAATCGGCCAGGACGATCATTGATCGGCCTGAACGATATTCATAAATTATGGCTTAATTGATCAGGAAATCAAGGGAGTAATTAAGGATGATTGATACGATCATATCATCTTGAATGATCGCAGGATCGGCCAGGAAGATCTATTCAAAAACCTTAGTTACTTCTGGACGATAAATATCGGCCAGCTCAAATTCAAGGCGATGCTCTGGACGATTTTCCTCTGATTTGAACTGATCAAAATTCCGGGACGATAGAGAGATCAGCCTGGACGATCAAACCAATTTTAAATCGTCCAGTTTGCATTCAGGGCGATGCTCTGGCCGATCTTATGAGATTTATACTGATCGGCCAGGACGATGTCCATATCGACCTGGACGATATTGTCGGCAACTTGCAATTAATGAGCTCCTTTGAAGCTCTTCTATTTAAGAGCTCTTGGTCAACGTTTTGAACAATCTTTTGCTACTGCCTTGACCTGAGAAGACCTTGAGGAGAGAAAGAGAGAGAGGATCTTG